ACACGCCGGGGGTCTGGAGGGGGGGCCGGGGCTGGACCGCAGCCGGCAGGGGCTGGGCAGGCTGCACCGGCGCTTGGATGGTGGTTGTGTTCAGCACGGCGGCAGCTGCGAAGCAAGGAGAAAGAGTGTGAGGCAAGGGGGAGCCAGGGCCGCCGGGGAGATGCTGAGCTCAGTGTCCCCCCCGCTGCTCGGTGTCCCCTCCCGAAGGGAACCCAGTCACCCCGTGGTTCATCTCCACACGCTCGATTTATGGCAGCGAAAGGTGCCCCCAGCTCCCGTGTAATGGGCAGGGCCGAGCCCCCCCTGCTACAGCAGGACTCATCCTGCCCGGCTGGGTGCGGGGTCTGACCCCCAGCAGGTGCTGTGCCAGTGTGGAGGGTGAGGGGCACCTCCGGGTCCCCCCATCTCCCCCGTCTGTGACTCAGGACAGGACCCTTCCCCTGAGGGAGCTGATTCCCTCTTACTGGGGGGGCACAAGCCCTGCCCCGGGAATGGCCAGAGGGGCACGGATCCCCCCCGCCCTGCTCTCCTGCCCACAGGCAGAGCCAAACCCACAGCGACTGGGTGCTGTACCTTGAGCCCCAAATCTAACCTGGACTCACAACCTACTCCTGTGCGCTGCCTTCCTCCCCATCACCATCCTCATCCTGCCCTGCCTTCCTCCCTGTCACCATCCTCATCCTGCCCTGCCTTCCTCCCCATCACCATCCTCATCCTCCCCTGCCTTCTTCCCCGTCACCATCCTCATCCTTCCCTGCCTTCCTCCCTGTCACCATCCTCATCCTCCCCTGCCTTCCTCCCTGTCACCATCCTCATTCTTCCCTGCCTTCCTCCCCGTCACCATCCTCATCCTGCCCTGCCTTTCTCCCGTGCTCCTGGCACCTTTTGTATGCGGGGAGCCACAAACTTAAAACCTCGTTTCAGATCCCTCCTGGAGAGGACGGTCTGGGTTCGGCACAAGCTGGGGGAGGATGAATTAAGGAGGCTACAAAGCAGCAGAGCACGGGTTACCTTGCAGATTGGCTATAGGTGGTTTGAAAATTCCCCCTGTAGGAGAAGCAGCCGTCAGTCCGGGAAGGGCAGCGACCGTTGCTGTAGGAAATGTCCACACAGCCAGCCCCTGCTGACCTGCCACTTGACCTGCAATACTGATGGGGATAAGAAGAGGTTGAGTAACTGTCCCTGCTGGAACCATTACTCCTGTCACAACTGTTGCTAAGTTTTCCTGAGTCAAGACCTGCAAAAGTAAACAAGATTTAAAAAAGAACAAAAATCAACGCCACTGCAGACAGCATCAGCGGAGCATAAGTCTTTGTAAAGGGCGCCCAGACCCGGCGGGCGGGCGGCCCGGGGTCCCTCCCCTCTCAGCAGCTGGGTTCCCAGCTCCGCGGAGCCCCCTCTCCGTGGGGAGATGGGGATCCCCCCCCCTCCGCAAACCGCCGCGACGTGTCTCTGGCAGCACCTCGGCAGCGCAAGGCCCCGGGCGAGGGCGCCAAGCAGAGGGCAACCGCCTTGGTTCGGGGCGTAGGTCCTACACCCCGCGCCACCAGCCGCCGCCTCCGCCCTTGGGGTTCGCCCACAGCAAGCGGACGCCTCCCCAGGGGTCCCCACCTTGTCTCCCCCCTTCCCGACGCCGCCCCGGCCCTCTCCCGCCCCGCTCCGTGCCTGCGGGGTAGTTACCTGCGGGGTGGCCTGCAGGGCCAGCGGGGCCAACATCTGCGGCTGCTGGCTCGTGGCGTGGCTGAAGGTGCTGACGGAGGGAACGGTGCTGGGGGACGCTCCGGCCGCTGCTTTGGCTTTGCCTGGAGAAGGGCAAGAGGAGACGGGTTGGAAAGATGCTGCTGGTTGAGCGATAGCAGCGCGTCTGCGCAAAGGATGGGGGTGAGGGTGGAGGGCACCCAAATTGTGCACACCCGGGGAATGAACATCCCCCCACGGGTGTCCCGGGGCAGCTGCAGCCCCACGGAGCCGGTGTGGAACCCAGCATGGGGCATCCTCTGGAGCAGGCGGGTCCCCCCGGGTGGGCTCACTGCCCAGCTTACGGGGTGCCGAGGAAGAGCATTTGGGGCTTCTCACGGGACGTTTTGGCGAGGAAGCAGAGGAGGGAGAAGGGAGAAGTTTGGGCGATTTGGGGAGGAATAAGTGTGCGAAATAGGGGGGTTAAGGGGATAAAAAGGGCGCGGCCGTGTGGAAGTGGTTTGCGGGGCTTTGTGTGCCTCTCTCGGGCTGTCAGATCCAGCAGGAGATATTTTCCTCCACCAGCTGCCGGCTCCAAAATTAGCAGCAATTGAAGTGGTGTCAGCCCCTGAACCGTTCACCCGGGAAGGAGGAGCTGGAAAGGGAAGGGACAGAGATCGCTCGGCCAGCGCCCAGCAGAGGGGCTGTCCCCCTCTTTCAAACCTCCGCCCAAATGCACCCAAAATATTCATATTTCTTAGTTATCACAAACATCCAAGCAAGAGGAAACCTTGCTCCTAATCCATATTTATTACTTGCAAAAGACCTACTTGTTTTTTGAGCAACATCTTGTATTTATTCTGCTCAACTTCTAATAATGGCAACTCTTGTGTATAAAATCCACTTAATCCTCTTCTATTTTTGTAAAAAGAAAAACACCCTTTTCCTGCCTTTTCCTTTGGCAGAAAAAAAAAAAAAGTTTTACCAAATAAATACTTTTCTCAGCTGAGAGCCAGGCATTTCTTGGGTTTGGTTCCTTGCCCAGAAATAACTACAGGTCTGCAAGATTTAAAAAAGACTTTTTTTAAAAAAAATTCCTACCAAACCCAAGTGTCACGTCCCGCTCAGAAGAGGGAGAACAGTGACTTTGACTCCCCAGAGGAGTGGACAATGGTGAGGTAAGTCTCAAAGTCCTTACATGAACATTTATTAATTTCCCACGGTGTATTAACTGGATACACGATACTTGACTAAGCATATAACAAATTATGCCTTGTGTGACCTAATGATAACACGGAAAGGGGGAAAAAGAGAAGAGAGAGAGAGATGGGAATAGAGATCGAGATCACCGCTCCGGGTTCCCGCGTTGGTCCCCGCCAACGAGGGTTCAAGGATGCATCCGCCTTCTGCCTGCTGTTATCCTCCCCCTCCTCCATTTATACCCCTTCCTTGGGTCCCTCCCCCGGGGCAACCCCCACCTCTACGTATCCCATGGACGGGGAGGAGTAAAGGCGCTTCACGGGATGTTGCAACTAGCAGGATCTTGTTAATCTTCATTAGCATATGCAGGGGAGTCAGCTTTAATATGCATTTGGTGCATAATGAGGCGAAGGTCGTTCACCGGACAGATGGCCCTGGAACTTCGCAAGATGCACCGGAGCAGAACCGTCCTGTCTCCACAGGGCTCCCTCCAGACAGGACTTGCCTCCCACACGGCTCCCACCAGAGATAAGCCAGCGCCAGCTCCAGCAGCTCATCGAGCACAAAGCCTGCGTTATCCTGACCCCACGTTATCCACCCCGTGACTGCAGTTTCATTTTAGGGTCCTTGCGAGTGTTTGAGACATTCCTCAGCAAGGCTGGGAGGGCCTCCGCCCCCCCCCCCCC